CAATGCTTAGAAATTAGAACCTAATTAGGTGTGGGGTTCAGGGGGGCCATGCTAGTATTTTCCAGGCCCCCTGATCCCTACCTCCAGCCCTGGTCCAACAAGCCTTAAGTCTTTGTTATTGGCTGGAGGCAGCTCTGAGAACAGCTATTGGCTGCTGGAGACCACAACCCCTCATCCAGAGTCAAAAGTTCAGGAGCCTGCCGGAGGCCCCCACCCACATCTGAGGAGCAGCACATGTGTGCATGCAGGAGGAGCAGGGCTCGGGTTTCCCTGCGCACATGAACGCTCCTGTCAAGTGCAGGAGGCACCGGCTCCGCGTGCAACGTGTTTCATGATGCATTCAAAGCAGCTCCCTACAGTCAGGAGGTGGGCAAATGAAACGGCATCAGGCTGCAAAACAGCCCTAAAAATGATGGTGAATGAGCTGATTGTCTGTGCAGCCTGCAGGATCCGACCTAAGCCGCTGACGGGCTCCAGTGTGGAGCTGGTTGCTGATGCAACTCCTCCAGAGCTGCTGGAGCGGAGGCCAGCGGAGGAAGAGCAGGGAGCGGACAGGGACGTGGCACACTGACACCAACACTGAAACCCAACCAGTACTGAAAATACTGCAGCGGAGTGACTGAGGAGCTCCTGGGAATGACTCTGAACCAGAACCGAGCCGGGCTCAGTCATCTCCATCTAACCCGAGCCTGGCCATGCATTCACTATTTACTAATTGGATTTTGTCAAATCAGTGCAGCTCAAGTATCAAACGCGTTCCTTGGTGCAGAAATGCAGCGATACTCACGGACGAGGTGGAGAATTTCCTCAACACTTGACTCGCTGTCCACAACATAATGGCGGTGTTTTCTGTTATTTAACAAATAGAAAGAAGAAGAAAATAAATCCAGACGCTGCGCAGTTGTTCTGAGCTGCTGTAGAGGAACCAGCCCTGCGCTGTCCACACACCTGCCCCGTGTGCGTGTCGGTGTGTCGGTGAGTCAGTGGCGGTGTGGCCGCGGTCCGGCTCGCCTCAGCAGCTTATAGCCGACAGCAGCCGACCGACGTCCTGCCTGGCGCCGTGCGTGCGCGGTCACGCAGCGCTTACTACGTTCTGCCTGCGCGAGCACGCGTGGGAATCCTGAGAACTCGGGGTCAGTCACTGCAGGGCCTTTACTGCCGAGTCCGATAGTTTCCACGTCCAAGAGCAGCTCATCTACTTTCATGTAGATCCATTTATGAAGTGGATGCACCATGAAGATCCAAATCTGAATGAAAATACAAACAATAATGATTTTCATGATGACTGAATGATTTTGTGATTTTTCTTTTTAGTAGTTTTTATGATGATGAGCACAATAAAACACAGGACAAAGACGGTGGACAAATACTTTTTCATTTACTAGCTTATAAAAATATCACAGAGAACAGAGACGTGTTTTAAATTGCAATTTTACTTACAATGTAAAAAATATAACGATATACCAATTTAAAAAAAAATAATAAGCTCAAAAATGCAACTAGACCAACAATACAGTAGTAATATAGTGTAATATAACAATATAGTGTCTGTGATGGTGTGACAGGCAGCAGCCAGCAGTGGAGCAGGTAGTGACACACAAGCACTACAGTGGGAAACACAACTATTTGATAAACTGCTGATTTTGCAAGTTTCTCCACTTACAAAGAATGGAGAGGGCTGTCATTTTTTCTTTAAGTACACTTTGACTGTGAGAGACAGAATCTAAAACAATCCAGAAAATCACATTGTATGATTTTTAAATAATTAATTTGCATTTTATTGCATGAAATAAGTATTTGATCACCGAGCAACCAGCCAGAGTTTTGGCTCTCACAGACCTGTTAGTTCGTCTTTAAGAAGCCCTCCACTCGTTACCTGTATTCACTGCACCTGTTTGAACTCGTTACCTCTATAAAAGACACCTGTCCACACACTCAGTCAGTCAGACCCCAAAGAGCTGTCTAAGGACACCAGGGACAGAACTATAGACCTGCACAAGGCTGGGATGGGCTGCAGGACAACAGGCAAGCAGCTTGATGAGAAGGCAGCAACTGTTGGTGCAATTATTAGAAAATGAAAGAAACTCAAGATAACTGTCAGTCTCCCTTGAGCTGGAGCTCCCTGCAAGATCTCGCCTCGTGGAGCATTAATGATCATGAGAAAGGTGAGGGATCGGTCCAGAACTACACGGAAAAACCTGGTCAATGACCTGAAGAGAGCTGGGACCACAGTCTCAAAGGCTACCATCAGTAACACACCGCCATGGATTAAAATCCTGCAGACCACACAAGATCCCCCCTGCTCAAGCCAGCACACATCCAGGCCTGTCTGAACTTTGCTGATGACCATCTGGATGATCCAGAGGAGACATGGGAGAAGGTCATGTGGTCAGATGAGACCAAAATAGAGCTTTTTGGTTTAAACTCCACTTGCCGTGTTTGGAGGAAGAGGAAGGATGAGTACAACCCCAAGAACACCATCCCAACCATGAAGCATGAGGGTGGAAACGTTGTAGTTTGGGGGTGCTTTTCTGTAAAGGGGATGGGGTGACTGCACCGTATTGAGGGGAGGATGGATGTATCGCAAGATTTTTTGCAACAGCCTCCTTCCCTCGGAAAGCGCACTGAAGATGGGTCATGGCCGGTTCTTCCAGCATGACAATGACCTGAAACACACAGCCAGGCCAACTAAGGAGTGGTTCTATAAGAAGTGCTTCAAGGTCCTAGAGTGGCCTAGCCAGCCTCCAGACCTGAACCCAACAGAAAATCTTTGGAGGACTCCATGTTGCCCAGAAAGATCTGGAGTAGATCTGTGAGGAGGAGTGGGCCACAATCCCTGCTGCAGTGTGTGCAAACCTGGTCCAGAACTACAGGAAACGTCTGACCTCTGTAACTGTGAACAAAGGTTTCTGTACCAAATCTTAAGTTTCTATTGTATCAAATACTTATTTCATGCAATAAAATGCAAATTAATTATTTAACAATCATACAAAACAGATTCTGTCTCTCACAGTTGAAGTGTAGCTAGGATTAAAAATTAAAGTGTCAGTGAACATTTTGGTCGGCACATTCTGTGCTCTGAGATCATTTATGAAAAAAACAAAAGTCCTACAGCAACAAGACTCACACTGGGTGAAAGAGGATGGAAATGCCTGCCTTTTTAGGTGGAAATTGTAAGGAGACGAAGTTAATTGCAACATTTTCCAAAAAATGCATCTGGTCAAAATTTAGGGTGGGTGACGTGTGATATCACCCACGCTAGCTCAAGAAAAATTCAGGATTTTCAACTGCGACTGCGTAAAAACCATAAGAGTCTAAACGTGGCTGGGTTTCGGCAACTTCCCGTTCATGTCGATGAGGATTTGTGACCCATTTGTTTGCTTATTTCATAAAAACTGCACGAGCTGCACATTTTGTTTGAATATCTAATTTACATGGGTTTTCTCAAAGCTGCAGGATGAGTGAGGCGCCAAAAATCATGTTGGAACAATCGATAATAAGAACAAGCCCGAGGATTAACAATAAGTGTGCTTCAAGTCACTGGGACACTTAATAACAGATCCTCTTAAAGCAGTGCATTAACATAAAAAACAAATGAATCTGCCAAACTGTTGAATATTCAGGGCTTTGAATTTATTTGACTTTTACCACAATATACATTTTATAGCAGAAAACTACAAGGGAACCCACAGAGTGCAGTTCTTCGCCAAAGCCAACGCTGTAGGCTCTAAATTCTACAGAGTGACCCAGATTTAAACCAAAATTTAATGGGTTCTTCCTTTGCCTCCGTTTCACCTCCACATCGGCAGAGTGAAAATCTTTTATGTAATATTTATGCACTATCATGACACATAGTGCTGTTTTAACACTTGTTTTGTTGCCTAAAGCAAACCCCAGTGGGACTCAGACTTCTGGTGTCAAGGTCCTGTGTTTTGTAATTGTCATTTCAAGTTTATGGGAATATAGTTTCAGTCTAGTGGCACAAATGTCTGCTTATATTACGGCCACAGTGCACAACAGAGTTAAAACTTCTCAACTTAAAGGGGAGACGAAGCACTCAGTCAAGTCAGCATAATTCACTACATGTACTCCCTTTCTGTTCAGAGGGTTTATAACAAACACGACAAACATGAGCATATAAAAGGAAAAAGAAGATTGTTTGGTGTCTTCTCTCCAGAGGGCACTGCCATCTTGGAGGGCACTACCTGGTGACGTCACGGGGTTGGTTAGCTTCACAGGTTTAAGACGGATTGTGGACAATAAAGACAGTAAAGGATGGAGACCGAGGAGCCACAGATGATCAGGGAGGCCACTACTCCTGGATAGAAGAATGAATTTTACAGGGTTAAAGCCATGAAACAGTCCACTTTCATAACCTGCCACTGAAACAGAGACCAGTGCTGATGAAGAGGAAGAGCCTTGATGATGGGCTCTGACTCCAGGGTTAGTAGGGAACACATTCTGGAGGAGGATCACACTGAGGAGGAGGTGGTGGAGTCCAGCAAGCTAGTGGTTCACCGGACAACAGACTAAAGCCTGATGTCCTGTCTGTGTTCAACTTCACTCGCTGAAACATCGCTCTGCTGACCGAGCAACGTATTCTGAAAAGTCCACCACAGGGAAACAGAGCTACATGGAGCTAAACGGTTAATAATAAAGATCTGTACTGACTGACACTCTTTGATAAGAGCATCATCACTGACAGCAATAAAGTTCAACACAAAGCCTCTGACTGTGTCTTACTGACATGTTTCACCGTGAACACCTGTTGTCCTCCAGCTGAAAGATTTCCATCACATCAGAGTTATCTGATGGGAGCTAGGCTTTGTTTATTTCTTATATATCTATATATGTTTTAACCCTAAGTATCGTTATTTGCCTCACTGCGAGGAGGTCCTGGGTTGGAATCTGTTCCTGGGGTCTGTCTGTGTGGAGTTTCCGGGTTCTTGTGTTTCCTCCCACAGTCCAAACACCTGCTGAGGTGAACCTGTGATTCTGTTCTGGCCGTAGGTGTGAGTGTGAGTGTGCTTGGTTGTCTGTCTGTTGTCTGGCAATGGATTATTCATAAATTGAATGAGCAGATTGTATTATTAGGATATTTATGTGTGTATTTCAGTCATTCTTTGATGTAATAAAATGTGTAAAATTTAACCTGTTATTCAGAAGTGTTGGCCAGTGCCAAGATCCAAAGGTGAGCAAGGCAATATAAATGAACTATTAATTATATGCAACAGATCAGTTATGCTGACACACTTTTGTAATTTTGTTAATTTGAATGGTAAAAGGTGTCTCCGGTACAGGTATGAAAACAGATAAAGAGTACGGTACACACCGCCCTTTTAAAAAATAAATAAATCCAAGAACAGCAAAATGCCATCACAAGACCTGCAGGTTCAGCTGTTGGAGTCAAAGTGCTGCATCTATAATCATAAAGAGATCAGACAGCTGTGGCCTGTATGGACAGAGTGCCGAGGGTTTCATCAACCTTAATGTGGTAGTTTATGTGTTTTCAAAATGACTTCCATTATCTGTACTGTGATTAATAACAAAAGATTTGCTCCATGTGTACTCAGTACATGCTTCCTGTGCAGGTTCTCTGTTGTTAAAACCAAAAAATGTGTAAAATTTACTTGTAACCTCTCTAACAAAAGAATCAAACACTAAGTGGGTACTAAGGTGACGTCTTAAACAACCACTTATGCACAATGTTTAACCACAAAGTCCTTTAAAGTTCCTCAGCACTGCCCTGCATCCATTTGGTATTTGAAAGCTCTCAGGCTGATCTGGGCTCAGATACAGCGACAAGAGAGTCGGGTACATTTTACTGTTTTATTCCAGCTCCACTATACTTGCTGGTTCTGGTTCTTTGGCTTTGCAGCTGCTCAACACCTGCCTGGACTCCCACACAGAACTGGCTGTGACCAAACATGCATCTGGCACCATCCACACTGGACTGCCCTGCACAGGTTCCAGAGGGGCAAAGGTTCA